AAAGAATACCACAACCACAAACATAGTTGTAAAAACATACTCGTAAAAGCAACGGGGACATTAGTCATATCTAAAGAAATGCTTGGTAAAGTGGTCTTAACGAAAGCACTAAAAAGCTACGCTATGGCTCAGATCAAATCGCACAAGCGACCTAACGGTTTGTTCTGAGCACTTGAGGACTAGAGATGTACTCAAATTCGAATAACTGCATGTCGATAATTCAAAGCTATCAACATAAAAAGGATATTTAAAAAAAGAATTACACAATATAACCGTTTCTATAAAAAAAAAATATAGAAGAGGGGGCAAACCAGCATGCGGCTCACCTGAAGGTAAGTGACTACCGCCACCAATGAACAACCGCAACACCAGGGGAATTGCAGGTGCGTTGCCGGCATTTTAGAAAGGAGTAAGCTCTTTTCTTGAAGGTCCCTAAGTCATATCGGTCCGGAAAAATCTCCGGTGGCAAACAATTCCACAGAGAACTTGTACGAGGAAGAAAACTCCTAGTAAAACGCAGCTGGAATTAATCCGAACAATTCCTCAGAGTTAATTAGTTAAGTAATTCAAATAAGCCTAAAGTGCATGTGACGGAATCTGTAAGAAGTTTTGCTGATTATGCTCAAAACATTTAGGTGTTTTATAAATGTAAGGGCGACAATCGTGCACACAGGCGACCAGGTGGTAAGTATATACAGTAGTCCAAGACACCTATATCGATTAAAAATGAAAAGACACCTCTGACACCTAAGATGGAATGCCTAGTCTAAACTCCCCACGAATTACGCACACGAAACACAACAGTACTATGCTAGTATTCTTTAAGAGCGTAGTCCATAGTCAAGACATGCTCCAGCCATAACAGCTCCAACGTGGCTCTACAACGTACAAAAGGTTACTGTAACTTTACGTACAAAGCAAAGCATTATCGTAATGTGTCAACTAATTTGGCTCTGTTTTTCAGATGATGTAAAAACTTTTAAATCTATATTAAAGAATGCTTTGCGACATCATCGACTTTTTCAATTAGAACGAAAGAGGGCGCTAACAAAATTTTATTATATTACACAGAATAGTCATTTAACCACATAAAGTCTGATTTTTCAATCGCCAGATAAATTTTGTCCATCAAATTAATTACTCCTGACCTGTCTAAATACAAAAATGGAACAATTAAACTATTTTATTTACACATCCGTATTTTTTATATTGCACACATTCATACTATGAATAATTTTTATCTGAGGATAAAAATCTACCCTAAATGAAATAAGAACCATAAATTAAAGAGTCAAGTAACATTTTGCAAACAACTAATTCGAATTTAGAACTAACAGAGTACATCACTAGTCCGTTTTACTCGCTTTTGTAATCCAAGCTCACATATCGTCCAAGAGATTAAAGTGTATCATTGACCTTTTTACATGTAACAGTCTAGATTTCAAAGTAAACCAGAGACATCTCATTGCTGGACTCATACCACCAACATGCCACAGCTCATTGTCGAGAGAGTATAGGAGCGAATGTAGTTTTTTTCACGAAAGAAGTCCCTAAGCCGCGGCTATAGTCTGAAAAATTTGACATTTGCTTAACATTTTTCATTTTATTATTTTTATATGGTGAAACAGACTTTATTATTTAATTGATAAATTACTAAGTGCTCTGTGATAAAGACAACCATAGTGAGCTAAACTCTACAAGTTAAAAATAGTTCGAGGAAATGCGAAAATCGACAATGGCCTTTTTAGCAGCACGACGAACTGTTCCTCGCTTTAAAACCCTTTCAAAAATGAGATAAGACCTTTGCCTTGTGGCTGTGGAACATGTAGGCTTCTATTTTGAATCAAGAAAACCCTGCCGCCACATATAAATGGAATAATTACCACGTAACTAGCGCGCTGATTCATACACTTGATAAATATATTTTATTCTTTAGACATTAAAAATTATGGTAATTCAGCATATAAATTAATAGTTATTTTGCTCTGATTACATACATTAAAGGCAAGCACCTTGCTCCCCTGATATTCCAAAGTTAATGAAATTTTTACAAACTTAAGTAGGAGTCATTTACTCTGTTTAAACTGTGCTTATACTACCTGATTTAGACATTTAAACGCAATAGTCACGTTCATATTACAATAGTCTTTATAACAATCACAATGAAATTGTTACTGGCATGGCACCTTTTTTCTGAGATTTAATCAATTAGAAATTAACCAGACAAGTAGAATTAAGAAAGTGATTTAGAGCTTAGCAACCTGTCTTACCTTAACCTTACTTACTCTTAACCTTATGTCTAAGTTAGCGTCAAATATAAGTATGTATTTTGCTAATGCTTTAACGATAGTCATGGTTGAATGAAATTAATTTTACTGATATTTATGCATTTAATTTTAACTTGCACGTGGTAGAGCCATGCTGCAGCTATATTAGTAGTATAGTCGTAGCACGAATGGGTGGGCTCGACCGGAGAAGGACCACGCTCTCACATTATACCAGCGTAAAATAGCAGCTTAACACTGCTGTGTTTCGTATGGTGAGTGTAGAGAACCGGAGACCCTTTTTACTGGAAAAGAGGCATTCCATCTTAGTCCTCACGGGTGACAACGCATCTGCATTTTGATTCTTTATTGGGGATAGATCTAGATGTCTATGGGTCACAGCAACCACTTACCATCAGGTGGACTGTGTGCTCGTTTGTCACTCTATCCTATAAAAAAAAAACTTCTTTTACAAACTGAAGGTAGGCTAAATATGATATCAAACAACTCAGCCCCCATGTGAGCAAAGGTGCTGTGAGTCGATCGAATCGTGGGGAATCAAAATAGGTTAAAATTAAGCACGATAAAATCCGTAACATCAGTTTCGTTCAATGTGTGTTATTCGTGTGAATATAAGAAATTATGATAGTTGTTGTTATTGATCGGATATAATCTGAAACTTAAAAGATCATTAATTTTTATCGTAACAAACGTTTATTGCTAATGATAAACAACCGCTATCTTACTGTGGTTAAATATTAAAAGCTTTGAACCGTCCACACAATAATCGGATCTGAACGAAATGTGCTGCTGCCGTGTGTGTAGTGTGGTGGCTCAAGATCACTCACAATCCACTACCTAAAATGAAATTGAAAAGCGTGGCAATTATAAAAAATATGCCTCCTACAAGTTAGTCTATGTGAAAGACCTACGTTCCGGAGTGGGTGACATGGGAATGAAAGAAAAACATACAGTGACCTCGCATTTTCGAAACCGTATTTATTAAACCATTCTCCAATATTCACGTCATATCACACCAACAGCTTTTTAATCCATTTAACATAGGCCTATTCGATAGAATATTGGGATGTGGAATGTGCTTTTTCAGAGTGAGTTGTCACCGCCGTGAGTGAGCAAGTACACTGATGTTGTGGTTGACACGACCAGATCATAAAACGTTCTATATTTTTATATAAAACTGAAGTGACAAACGAACTTGCAGTCCACCTGTTGGTAAGCGACTACTGCAGTCCGCGGACACCTTCGGCCAACTACAAACAAAGAAGGCTACAGGTGCGTTATCACTCGGAAGACTAATATGACACAAAAATTAGGAGCATCATCGAACATAATATAGAATATATTTTCCTGCTCTATTGAGAACACGACGAGAACTTACGAATTTTAACTGGACTACCTCGCAGTTATTCAATGCCACAAGTTTGTCTATATCCAATTTAACGGTCAAAATATATTCCGAGTGAAACATGTAGACAATCATATACACGTATATCCAAAATCTAGAAAAGTATCAAATCAACAAATACACTATACAGACAAAATCTCCAATTTGAAATTGTACTCCATTCACAATTTCGCTTCGGTTCCTTAAAAACGAAAAGAAATCACGAATATCCAACACTTCGGGTTTGCTAAAATGTTCTCGCTAACTATAGTTGTAAAATACTTGGACCACTAGACCACACAATCGTCAAAAACAATCTGAATTGTAAATATAGAATGGTTTGTTAGTTAGATGTTGTGAGATGCCAGTATGGGAAATGTCAGATGTATCTCATGGCTTCCGACAGCTATGGCTATCCCTGTTGCGGTATAACCATCAAGGATGAGAAACGCGTGTCGATCAGGGATCAACATATTCACGATTAAATTGATCCTCCCTACAAAGGCCCTAAGGGTGCTTACATAAGAAAAACAGGTTTCCGGTACAGACAAATCTGTGCTGGTCGTTACCGACCGGTGCAGGGTTAACCTGCACAAAGAAACAGGTAAATCTGTCCTTATTAACAAACATGGCCTCCAGTTCATCATTATTGTCTCTAATATTAACAGGAAAATATGTGTATATATATAAAGTGTATCCATTCTTATGGATACACTTTATATACATACATGTTATCTTTAACATAGAGATATTATACCTGTACCAATCAGTACCGACCAGTAATGATTTGTCTGTACCGGAAAACTGTTTCTTTATGTAAGCACCCTAACATCGGACTTTTACCGTTACGGGCTAAAAAAGAAAAAATAAGCAAAAAATAATAATTCTGTGATAGTTTGAATAACAATGTTCTCTGTCAATCGTCTTTTGATTCAACCAAAGCGTAGTTTTGATGAAGGTTATGATGAAAATTCGATCAAGGGTGAAATTTTACGTAAACGTTTGTTATTTAAAAACTAAAATAAGTACTACAGATATGTTACAATGTACGCCTTCTATTAAGATACTTGAAATATCAAGTATCTTAGTATTAATTGTTACAATCACGAGTGATTCTTACTTATTTAACTTTTATTATTATGTTTGCAAGCATTTTAATATATTTATCTGTTTATGATCTTGACATATTTATTATTGCTTCAAAGTAACAGTTTTTGTTTCGATTCATTAGTAAACTTTAAAATCTGCAACTTTAGAGATAAATGCAATCATTATCAAGGCTCACGATTACGGATTCATTCATGGACAAATGCTTATGCCGCTCGACCTACGTCCAATAAAAGGCAGTCGGGCTGTGTCCGCCTTAGCGACCACGCTCGGTGCCCCAAGGCACACTATCGCGATGGCGTCGAAGAACGAAGAGTGCGGCGCCATGACCAACACGGGAGCTTCCCGGGCACTCGCCGGAGCCCTATCCTTCCCCAGCACTCGGACGCGGTGGAAGCCGGCCGCGACAACCACCAGCCGCATAAGTGAGAGGATCGAGAAGCGAAGTTTGCTAAAAAGAAGACAGTACGTTAGAATCTGCGAAAAATTGAGAATAGAATAGCATATTTATAATTTAATTGAGATTACATAATAATAATATTAATTGAAAGTATTTTTTTATTTACCACTGGTTCATAGATTATTTATTTAAACATAAATATAAAATAATTTTACAATAATATTACACATTCCTTTATTAAAATTATAGAGCCAGCCAGGTATGATCAACTCATTACCAGGGGTTATACATTCATGAACTCCTCAATGTTATAATAAGCCTTTTATTGCCGTTTTTGTATAATGAAATTTTTATACTTATTAATTTTTTTAAACCTCCACACTAGGATTTTCTCCTGTATCGTGGAGGCAATTTACATACATAAATTTGCACAAGGATAAACATCCAGACTCGGAACAATTACTTGTAGGCCATACAAATACTTTTTCCGTGCAGGATTCGAACCCGCGGCCTTCAGCGCCGTAACTCATCACTAAGCCACTGAGCCTCAAAGCTGTCGAATGTCGAAAGCCAAATTGACAAACATTGAACATTTTTTGTCCTATTCATTGCTCCGATAAATGAATTACATTTTTTATAGGATAAATGTGACATACGAGCACACAGTCCACCTGATGGTAAGTGGACGATGTGGCCCTTAGACATCCACATTTATTCTCGATCAAGAATCAAAATGCAAATGCGCTGTCACCTCTGAGGACTAAGATGGAATATCCCGTTTCCGGTAAATAACCCGCGAAGTGCGAGTCGGACTCGCGCATGAATGGTTCCGTACCTTCGTAATACACGTTTCTAGGAGGGGAGCCCCTTTTAATTTTTAATTTATTTTAATTTTTATTATTTGTTGTTATAGCGAGAACATAAATACACATGTTTAAAAAGCATTCTGTGAAAAATTCAACTGTCTACCTATTACGGATCATGAGATACAGCCCGCTGACAGACAGACGGACAGCGGAGCAAAGGGGTTCCGTTGGAAACCCTTAGGGTACGGAATCCTAAAAAGGGTATCCGGTTCACTACACTCACCAACGAAACACAGCAGCATTAAGCTGCTATTTTACGCTGTGTTGTATTCTGTGAGTGTGGTCCTTCCCCGGTCAAGCTCTACCCATTCGTGGTTGTATAATGTTTTTACACATAATTAAATGCGGTCTAGTAACTGGCATTCCTACAAGCTACAAGCGTGGGTAACGAAAGAACACTGTTAAACAAAACGAATAGCTTTATTCTTATTAAAACTATTTATGATTTTATTACACACATTACATTGTCATATAGAGAGAAAAAGAAATTAAAAACTAAAACTAAAGAATATAGCGAGCTAAAGTTAATATATTTATTTATTAAATCTTTACTCTAAGAGACTCTTTACAATTTAAGTTATAAATTGTACTTACTGCGCTCTTTTGCAAAACAAATATTGTTTCAAAATCAGTTGGGTTAACGCATAGCAAAATTCCATAAAACATTACGCTATACAAGTAAGTAAACTAACCTAGGAGTAGTTGTTATTTCAACATTGGTGACAGTTACAACATTTTACAGCAAAATATAGGACTAGACTAGACTAGACCTACTTCGGAACAGACTGCTAGCTAATTTAAATAAGCGTCCCATTAAAGCTTCGCGTCAACTGTAATTCCGAGAAAAACAGTGGATTCAACAAGACTCCGTTCCTCCCCATATTTACCGCACACCGGTATTCACCTGTTTAACATTTGGTGTTGTAAATTTAATTTTCGTTTTAATGTCGTTTAAAAGTCAAGCAGAGACGCAAAGTAGCCAGTCTTTCGGAGTTTTACTGGATACATTTTGGTGAGTGTGCATATAAATCGAAAAACTAAATTCCTCCCTTCAACAGTCGCACAACTAGACACTCGGCCAGTCTCCACCTCTTCATTGTCGATTTACCACGCATTGCAACCAAACGGTTTACTTAGTCGTTTGTCATGCGCGCAGCAGAATAATTTACCAGCATCTTTCTCTCAACTGTGTGAAAAGTCTTTTGTTAAGCTAAGTCAGTCCACTCTACCATCTTTGGCTGCATAACTACACTCACTATAATAAACATAGCAATTAAGCTGCTATTTTACGCTTGTATTCTGTGAGAGGCTGGTCCTTGATCGGTCGAACCGACCCATTAATAATTATCCACCGAACCCATATCGCCCCATAAGAGGCGACAAAGGTAAACAAACCCTGAGATAGGCAGCAGCGTTTGCCTAACAACAACTTAAAATAAAAACCTGCGGTTGTCCATCCCGACTGCCAAACGTGGCAACTATCACAGAAATCCCCCTTATAAGGCAATCTATGGCGTCCCCATATGTTCAACAGACTTTTGGTAGGTTGTAACTATAACAGAGTTTGAGTGTTGACAAAATGATCTGAAACATTTCTTTAGTACTTTACGTAACATTTTTTTTATATTTGTGTAACACACACTGCCTTCTTTTCAAGGTAATACGATTGTAAAAATAAAACATTCACGGTCGCCACGCGCTTACAGCCGCCATAGAAACCGTATTATTGCAAAAAGATCAATTTACGTTTACAGTCGAGTGGTAAATATAAATATAATATAACATTGACGTTTTAATTTGTATTGAAAAACAACTTAAACACTAGCCCAACGAATGAGTATACTATAAAGGGGCAATAAGTTTCGACAGCTCGAAGAACCGACCACCTTCGGGAAAGAAAGGTTCTCGAGAGGCAGCTGAGAGCTTAATGTAGAGATGGAGTGATAACCTGGTAAGTATGCAGGAAGTCGATGAATGCAATTGTCTCAGGAACGTGTTTTGTGGCATTCCCTGTGGGAGGCCTATATTCAGTAGTGCACTTGTGAAGGGATGTTATGACGACGAATTTAAAACAGTATAATGCAAAGTCGTTTATATAAAACTTCGAAACTGCTTGATCGATTTTTCAGCGGTTTTCACCGTCATTTAAAAAAATTCTTGAACGTATATAATGCATGCTCATTTTATGTAAGATATGAATGTCATATTAATCTAATAATGTTGGTATTTTGTAATCAAATCATAAAATATAACACTACGCTGGTGACTAACACCTGCAGACCAAAACACAACTAATAGGCAGAAGAGAAATTCTACTACCAACTAAACAGATGCCACAAAAATCTATACGTTTTGTTAAACCATGTGTCTATTAAATCGTTTGTTTACAAATAGCACATTACGCTTACGTCGACTAAAGTTACAGCTTTGCCAGTGCAAACAGACTTACGCATCTACAACTCACTGCTTTCACTGTTCTGAGTTCTACACGAAAAAATGTTCATGAACAAATGTGGTGTATACAATTTTAGCAGAATCGTACCTTAAGGTTACGTTTACTTATCATATTGACAGGAAAATTTTTACAACAGAGAAGTTTTCTTCATATTGGCCATGCTGTTTATAGCGTGTAATGTCGTTTATATCGTATAGGGACTGTGTAATAATATCCACTACCCCATATCATCCCGTAGATGTCGTAAAAGGCTGACATACGTCTTTCCAATAACAACTAGAAAAAAAAATTCGGTTGACAATCTGCCTGCACGACGTGCAACTATTGCAAATATTACCCTTATGAGTCGATCTATAAGGAGGACGATGTTCAGTAATGGACTTTGATAGGCTGTTATGGATGGATGAGGGAAAGTGATACTGTTCCTCAATACTCTGTAATTAATCTATGTTGGTTCAACTTTTTATATGGACTCTATGTAAAAAACAACGGGGTTCAAAATCACACAAAAAACCAGCCTATCATCCGTAATTTCATACGTGGTAGAGGCATGCTGCAGCTATATTAGTAGGTATAGTTATAGTATAGTATAGTTGTAGCACGAATGGGTCGGCTCGACCGGAGAAGGACCACGCTCTCACAGAATACAAGCGTAAAATGGCAGCTTGAAACTGCTGTGTTTCGTTTGGTAAGTGTAGAGAACCGGAGACCCATCTTACTGGAAAGAGGCATTCCATCTTAGTCCTCACGAGTGACGACGCATCTGCATTTTGATTCTTTATTGAGAATAAATGTAGATGTCTATGGGTCACAGCAACCACTTACCATCAGGTGGACTGTGTGCTCGTTTGTCACCCTATCTAAAAATCAAAATCCTATAAAAATATAACGGTGTCAGATGGGTAGTATACTACTAGTAGTATAGCTTAACCTTTATTGAACGCCTACAATCTGTTTATGCACGGTTATTTGGAAATAAGCAAAAGCGTTGTCAGGATCGTGCCAAATTGAAGTCCATATTCTCTACCTATCCCTCGGGTTGACATTGTTGATCATTAAAGCCTCATTCGTTAATTATGACCGTAACAAAAATATGCTAATTGTTTTATGTCAACCTTTCTAAAATAACATGAACTTACGAAAGCGATAAGGATCAGTGTTGCATGTAATAAATATAAATTCGCCAACTTGTTTGTAAAGCTTTGAGATGGATATAGTCGTCCAATATACAAGAAAAAGCACATAGGTGTCAATCCGTCAACAAACGCAGAAAAAAATATATCCGATATATCCGATTATATCCGACAATTTCAACGGGCAGAAATTCATTTCAATTCAATAGAATTCGAGGCTAGCATCAAACAAAAGAGACAATTGACCATTGTTCGAACATAATAAATAGTTGCACACGTCCATTTGTCGATCTTCGACTGACAATTACAGTAGCGGTGTATGTACATAGCTTTTGAACATCAAAAATGGTGTTGACATGTTTTTACTGAGACCAAAAAGAACAAATGAAAGAAATAAGAGCAAATATCAATCATATCTCAATGCCTTATGATGCATTGGTTGTATACACCCTGCAGCTAATCGCGCATATAAAAGTTGATAGGCCAGTCCACACTTGCTGTACTAAATAAGTATTTCCTTAATATTTGTGAGAATACATTACAAATTAGTACAGTTAGGCTGTACAATGAGTGGTCACTGTGGCTTATTAGCAATGT